AAGACAACTGTGCTCACTCATGCGGTTGTAGAGGCTGAAAAATCCTAAATCTGTGGGTCAGATGTCAGACTAGAGTCTTCTCCTGGCTTGTGTAGCTTCAGGGACTGACATAGTCCAGATTGGCAGGCCTAAGGGAAGGCTGCTGTCTCTCAGATTGTGGAGGCTGATGAATCCAAAGACTGGCAGGCAATAAGGTAGGTAGACTGCTACAGGCTCAAAAGAAACAGAGGTTAGATGGTAATGAGTCAGATGCAGGGTCCAGAACATTCCTATATATTGAATGTATACCATACCCGAGGAGTCCCCCTTTCTACTGATTGGCTAGCTACTCAGAGTAGATTTCATAATGGCAGTGATCTCGTTCTATCAGATCTCATCGGGAGGGATGACTACATCATAACATGATTGCTGAACTACATCATAATTGTCAAACTACTGAGAATCACACATAATCGTAACTATCACAGTAGAGATTGAAACAGGGTACCCAGTGTTAGTTTGCCAGATGAGAACAGTCGAGGAAGTTGGAAGCGCATGAAAGAGAGTGATAGAATGAACTGTGCAATGAACACGTTGGTCTTTGTTTCCTGATGACCTCAGTGTTTCTCATTTTGGCTCCAACTGGTATCCTTAGGATTTAGAACTATTCAAATTCTTAACCAAGTACAGTTTCATTTAATAGCAGCCCCAGAAATGAGCTTGCCTTGGTATTTGTGTGTGTGTCCTATGGCCCTGACTCAGAGCTCGTGTTTTTTTTTTTTTAGCACTGAATAACTTGTATGTATGATACTGCAATACTGCCCTCTACTGTCTCTTTTGCTTAACTCTTGCTTAATCTCTTGACAGCAGAAAGCACCTTGTGCTCTCCTCTTCTATTTCCTTTCGTGCACAGCACTCAGGTATGAGCATACATAGCTCTCCAACTCTGTTACATCCACTCACTAACATTTCCACCTCTGTTGTGAAGGACAGTGGGTATGTTTTTTTTTTGGTACTGCTCACACTCTCTGTATGGGAATCTTCCGGGCTGCTGCTTCTCAGCATGCAGCTTAGTGTCAGGTTCTTGTCATCCTTGCCCTGTCACGGGATCCGAGACTTCTCTGCCACCTTTGGAGGGTGGCCGAGTGTTTTTTCTGAGAAACCCTGCCTAGGGGGTGAACCTCTAGTTAGGTTGAGCAGTTAATCTTTCTGAGTGCTGAAATATTTCAACCAGATGTCCCCTCCTCCAAATAGGGTCCTTTGTCCCTCCCGGAGGTTCATAGAAACATGAGCTGCCCATTGCTCTCTGAGTCCAGGCGTCTCAGGTTGCAACAGAATTGTTAAGGACACCAAAGCGATTTTTTATTTTTAAACAGAAAATATCTACGAAGGTGGGAAGGCTGGTAGAAAGTAAACAAGATGAATTTTATTCTGGAAAATTGTTGTTGTTAAGTGCTGTCAAGTTGTTTCCGACTCACAATGAGTTTCCGAGGAGCGGCTGGTGAGTTTGAACAAGTTGTTTCCGACTCACAATGACCCTGTATAGGGTTTCCAAGGAGCGGCTGGTGAGTTTGAACAGCTGACCTTGTGGTTCAAACCAAACTTGCAGTCCAGTGCTGTATTCCATGGCATCACACCTGGCTTCTCAGGTTGCAACAGAATTGTTAAGGACACCAAAGGGATTTTTATTTTTAAACAGAAAATATCCACAAAGGTGGGAAGACTGGTAGAAAGTAAAAAAGATGAATTTTATTCTGGACAATAGCTGGTAAAATTTGTACATGTGGGAGGCAGAGTAATTTAGTACAAGAAGATACTTGAAGATCTATATTTCTAGGTAGAATATGTGAGAGACTAATGAATTTTGCTGTTAGTTTGTGAGAAGAGGGGACCAAACAGCACCATGGCATTCTAGGTAGAAAGTGCATTTTATGGTTGACCTCAGCAACAGATACCTTACCGTTTGATATTTGTTCGTCAATATCAGGTCTTTTAGTGGTTTCCAGTGCTGAGTCTACCCTTGTTGTTGAGTAAGTTCTGACCCATAGTGACTCTGTATGGAGTTTCCAAGGAGCAGCTGGTGAGCTTGAACCACCAACCTTGCAGTTCAGACTGCTTTGCAGTCTGGTACATTAACCCACAGCGCCACATCAGCAGCAGTAACAAGCATGGAGGAAGCTGGCTGCAGGCAGCATGGGGAGAGGTTTATTTTCTGACAAGGACAGACTCTGAGTGTCAACATTAAGCACTACTGGAATTCAGATAAGGGAAAGAGAATGTCCTGCCACCACCCTGCCATCAGTGTGGTTAGAGGTGACTTTACAGAGAGGCAGAATTAAAGGCCAAAGGTGAGGGCAACATAGGGCTCAGGTGTGAGGGAAGGGGAAGGTGGTGGAACATGGAGTTTGGACTTGATTCTTTAGACTGGGAAAGTGTCTCGTGCCTTGGCCATTTTACAGGACCTTAGAGTCTATGGCAATTAAGGTAAATGTACTACTTATACGTCACCATTTGCCCAGTCTGCCAACTGGGAACTGCTTCATCATCTACAGGCCTTCTTTTTTTGTTCCCTGCTCTGAGCTATTGATCACTAAATGGCAAGAGTCTGCCTCATTTATTCATTCCAACTCTATTAATTTCCCTGTCTCTTGTAATCCCCACAATCCCTCTTTCTGCTTCTTCATTATCTTTGCTCAAACTGTATTTCTAAGTCTCAGATATGATCATGTCTGAGACTGATTTTCCACTGCCCACAGGATAAAGTCTAAGAGAATTACCTCTTTCTTAGCCTGGCTACATTCTTGGTCTGGGCAGCCAGCTTGAAGAAGCAGTTTGGACTGCAAAGTATTTGAAGTCTAGTTCCTGGAGAAAATAGAATAGACTGTTGATCCCATACGGTAGGTCCAGAGTCCTGGTGTGGCACCTTAAGATGCACGTTTAACCTCAAAGTCAGTTTGAACCACAGGGATGGTGTTTGAAACTCACCAGCCACTCCTTGGAAACCCTATACATGTTGCTATGAGTCGGAACCAATCAACACCACTTAACAACAACCTTGAGGTCCAAACTGACCTTGTAGTCCAGTGCTTATACTACAGTGCCATACCAGGACTCCAAAATATGTTTGGTGGTGGTGGGAGTTAAGTGCCGTGGAGTTGGTAGCGATCATGTATAGGGTTTACAAAGGTGTGGCTCTTTACGGGAGCTGAAAGCCTCATCTTTTTTCTGTGGTGTGATTAGTAGATATGAACTGCTGTCCTGTGGTTAACAGCTCAATTAGGTGCCGTTGAGTCAGTTCCTACCTATAGCGACCCTATACAGGGTTTCCAAGGAGCAACCTGTGAGCTTGCAGCACTGGTAACTCTTAGTCTAAAAGGCAGGTACCTTGGTGACACTGTGTGTGCTCAACTGTAAACGTAAAGTTGATGGTTTGAAGAAAGTTCCGGCAATCTGCTTCTATAAAGAATACAGCCAAGAAAACCCTGTAAAGCAGTTCTACTCTAATGCATGGGGTTGCCATGAGTCAGGATTGAATTGATGGGTACTCTAAAAAGCAAAAAGATGGCATCTTTGGGAACGATTTCCACTTAAAACAAGTGCCATTCGAGGCCTGGTCAGCAGAACCTTACTGAGAAGAATACCTGGAAACCTGAAAGCATGACTTGCCTGAGGTAAGTCAGCAAGTTCTGAGAAGTTATGAGAAAGGAATCCCAGATTCACCAAGCTTCTTTGTGCGGGCTTCAGAACTGGGGCCATCCTCCCATGGCTGCCCAGACTGGCTTTGGGGCCTGAACATTTCTTTGCTTTGTTGGGTCACTAGGTTGAATGGCCTTTCTTGGAAACTGAGGCTGGTTCTTTTCGTGGATGGGGAGCACATAGAAGATAAAAGGCTGGCCCAGTAAAAAGGGAGGGAGGATAGTGAAAAAAGAATTATAAAGGACCAGTGGTGGGGCTACCTACCCCAAAGAGAACAGCTCCATGAGACCGATTTAAATTGGAGGAAGCATCGCTGTGGACAACCCAGAAAGCAGCAGCAGACCCTGTGAGCAAATTATTACCTCCCTAGAGACCATGGGGTCCTTCTGTTGTGAGGAGTGATGCAGAGGGGACCACTTGGTTTTGTGTACAGGGTGGTGGCTGCAGACCCCTGCCCCAGGCCGGTGCTGCCAGGATTAGTGACTGGAGGGGAGGAAAGTGGGAAGGGAAGTAGTGCTGCCTGATGGGGTAGAGGATTACCGCATTGTCTGTTGTCTCTGTTTAGTAATCCTCATGTGGAGCAGCAGGTTGCCTGAGAAGCCGGAATCATATATTAGATCTTGGCTGTCCTGACACATGGAAAAAACGGTGAACCTTGATAGCAGTGAGTTTATGCAGGCAGTTCCTGAAGTCAAGCCTTGGTCCAAAGGAAAACAAAGCTTCAGGAAACCTGGAACTTTTCTACACCTTCTTGAAAATGCAAGTCATGTTGCCTAGGAAATACGTCTCTCGGCAAATATTCTGCACCCCGCCAGCATTGGATCTACATAGAAGGCAGCTGAAGTTATTCCAAGAAAACGCCAGCAGGCTGGTAGTAAAAGGAAGTAGCCTGTCTTCTCAGCCCTTAGGCTAGGTTTCTAGGAGTGGTACTTATGACCAAAATGAAACTAGGCTTCCCTGTAGAGTTCATGATGTGCTAGACTGTGGACATGCTGACCGAGTCTCCAGCAGTGCTGGGTGAGTGAGCACTAGTGCCATGTGCAAAGATTAATCGTGTTGAATGCAGTGTGAAGAGTGTGGGGAGAGTGTAGATAAGCAAAAACCAATACATACACAGCTTGTGCAGCCTGCAGAAGTTTCCAAAGCTAACCCTGGCTGCGTCTGCTGGGCGGCTCAGAAGCAAACGGGAAGCCTCAGACAGGAGGGCACAAAGGTAACCCCTAGTCCTCTCCTCTGCCCAGCCAAATTGGTGGATACTTTCAAAGTCATTGGTTCTTGAAATTGCGTTTGTGGGAAGAGAAGGAGGTAAGCCTGTGGATGCAGCTATGGAGAAATCCAGGAGTGAGAAGTCCAGGAACCCTGAGCAGTCTGCTTTGCCAACTCTGGGGGACCCACATGTGACCCTGCTGGCTACCCACAAGCAGCGGTCCTTCCGGAGGAGCCCTGGGGCCAGGGGCTTGACCTTGCTGGTGTCTTCAGAAGAGAAAGTCTCTTCCCCATCAGAAGTGGGAGACTTTTCACAAAGGGATTGGAATGGAACCCAGGAAATCAGTTCCAATCAGGTCAGTACAACTGTAAAAGAGCTAAAAAGCCAAGAGGGGTTTGGAGCCAGTTTATAGACTTGAGTTTCGCTGTGTTTTATGTTTGAAGTCAGGGGAGCCAGCCTAGGGTCGAGTAGGGAGCGAGAGTACAGATATAGCACCGGGAAGGAGTCAAAATAAACTTCTCCAGAGATTAATTCCTCATTTCAGTGGCAACATTTGGGTTTTGTTGCTGCATATCTTCAGAATATGAAGCAAACTCTTTCCAAAATGCAAGCCATCCAAAAATGGGTCTCCTCTCTCCTTTAAAAAAAAAAAAAAAAAAAAAAGTGTACCTAATTTTTTAAACTTGTATATTTAACATTTTGAAAACATTGTTGCAAAATGAAGCTGCTTTTCTTAAAAGCAAATAAGGTCAGATCATGGTCCCAAACGTAGGGAAGATAACATTTTGTAAAAATGTTGCCTTTTAGAAGCATTTCTACATGGGACTGGTGCATGGTCAGTGAAGCTTTTTTCATTGACATAATTCGTTTTAAAAAAAATGCTTTTGAAAACATTCTACTGGTTTAATACAAAGTAAAGTTTTTATAAGTACTTTGCCTCCTTTAGGACATTTTGTTTACTCTGGTCCAAAAACTTAAAGGAAATTTTATGAAAAGAGCTTTTTGCAATGTACTGTGTAAGAAATTTACATTTGTTGAAGTCATGTGGTATTTGGACATTGAAAATAGAAATCTATTGAGTCTTTTAATGCTGTATTTTACAGTCTAGTTTTTAACCTGAATATAATTATGATCTGAGGTATTTATTTTAAAACATTAAAAATGTGTTTTGGTGTGCTTTATTTATAGAGATTTCTAAAAAACTCATTCGAGAGTTCTTTCCATACAATTTTAATAGCAGGAAGCATAGACTTATTATTTAGTGGCTGCCCTACTTTTGAACATGGGCCAACTTTGGGTCAGTTTACTTAGAGTGGAAGTTAGGGTGTATTTTTCTGGGAGTGGGGCTTGAGGGGATAGATATAATTTAAGTGAATTTGAATTACTTTGCTTTTCAAAGCAATTGTATAATTTTAATTTTATTTCTGTTTAAAATGCATCAAACGAGTATCTAAACTAGCATGTTTTAAAAGATTCAGAGTTTTAGAGTGACAAAGCATTTAATTTGGCATTTTGTATGTTTCCCAATTATGAAACGTCATGATAAACATTTATATTATCAACTGAGTATTTAAGATAGTAATTTATTACTTGGGGGTGGATACTTGAGAGCATTTCTTTAAAATATTCAAACTATTTCTTTACAAACTCCAGTCTCTGAAATTTTTTCCTGGCTAATGCTAGTCTCTGTTACTAGGGAAGCCACCTGAACATGGCTGAGAGGAGCCTCTTCAGAAAGGAGGGTCTGGGCAGAGACCATTGCCGCGTGGCTGCAGATCCTGCTCTGCCGTCCTTTCTGAAGGGGGCCTATGATCTGAGCAAGTACGTTTTGGACTCCTTGAGCTTCAGAGTCCTCATTGCAAAATAGGCTGATCAATCGTGCCTCATAGGATTGTGAAAGCACGCTGTAGAGTACTATGTTGTTGTTGTTAAGTGCTGTTGTATCGGTTCTGACCCATAGTGACCTTGTATAGGATTTCAGTGGGTGACTGGTGGGTTTGAATCACTGACCTTGTAGTTAGCAGTCCAGTGCTTATCCTACAGTGCTATACCAGGACTCTGGTAGAGTACTGTATAAATTCATAATAGTAGTATTTTTGCCAATGTTATTATTTTCAGTAGAATTTCCAACTCTGAGGATCTGTGCAGTGCTTTCTGAAGGTCTGAATAGGATTATATCTGCCCAAGTCATCTAAGTAAAGTTGCTACTCTATTTTTTAAAAAGTTCTGATTATAAGTATAATCACATGTTTATTATAAGAAAACAAAATTAAGATTGGGTGAGAGGATTGCAGTGCTTCAGTGGGTTAAGCACTGGACTGTTAACTATAAGGTTGGTGGTTCAAATCCACCAGCTGCTCCATGGGAGAAAGATGAAGCTGTCTGCTCCTATAAAGATTTACAATCCCAGAAACCCTATGTAAGGTTGTTATGAGTTCAACTCAATGGAAGTGGGCAAAAAGAGCAATAAAGCAGTCATATCCCCCGCCATTTTCTCCACATGGATCTGTAAGTGTATGTACGTACCTATATATATCTGATTTTACGTAAAATATGCAGTCAGAGTATACATACTATTATATACTTTGCATTGATTACGTGATGTTATGTGAACATTTTTCCATGCCAGTGTATTTCTGTATCATTGTTTTCACTTGCAATCCCACTCTTAAAAATTTAATAAAAAATTTTTAAATTAAATTAATGGGGACATTTGCAGTGCCTGGTTTATGATTTTAAAGATAAAACTGAAAGTCAATTAAATTGAGTACTTGGTTAATGTAACATTGTATTGAATCAACACTCCCTCCCACCTGCAAAGAAAAAACAAAGCAGAATACTCCACTGTCGACAAGTAGATTCTGATTCACAGTCACTGTGTAGGACAGAGTGGAATTGCCCCGAAGGGTGTCCAAGGTTGTAAATCTTTATGGAAGCAGACGAGACAGCCACATATTTCTCTCGTGGCACGGCTATGGGTTCAAACTGCAGACCCTTTGGTTAGTAGCTGAGCTTTTTAACCACTGCAGTACTAGGGCTCCTGTGTTGAGTCAAATCCTTGTTAAATGCTGTCCATTCAGTTCCAACTCATAGTAACTGTGCATAAGTTTTCTGAGAGCAATTGGTGGGTTAGAACTGCCAACCTTGCAGTTACCAGTCCAGTTCTTGTTCTACAGCACCTATGTTGTTGCTGTGGTTAAGTGCCATCAGGTCAGTTTTGACTCATAGTGACACTGTACAGGATTTCCAAGAAGGAACTGGTGAGTTTGACCTTATAGTTCTAACCGACCTTGTGGCCCTGTTATCCTAAAGCACCACACCAGGACTATACAACATCACTTTGTTGTTGTTGTTGTTGTTGTTAAGTGCCATTGAGTCAAGTCAGTGAGCTTGAGCTGCCGACCTTGTGGTTCAAACCGGCTTTACAGTCCAGCACATTGAACCCATAGTGCCACACCAGGACTACTAGGTGGTGGTGGTAGTTATGTGCCGTGGAGTCGGTTCCGACTCATAGCGACCCTATACAGGGTTTCCGAGGCTGTAAATCTTTACAGGAGCAGAAAGCTTCGTCTTTCTCCCGTGAAACAGTGGAGGGGCCTGCACTATGGTGCTGAGCAGGTTTCAGCAGAGCTTCTAGACTGAGATGGACTGGGGAGAACGATCTGGAGGTCTACTTCTGAAAACCCCATGTACCACTGTTAAACTCTGACTCACATGGGGTCACTGTGAGTTGAAATTAACTCAATGGCAACTTTGGTTTTGGTTTATGTAGGTCCTTACTTGTGTCACTTGAACACCCCAAGGAGGGATCATCATCCCCCCGTGAACAGATGAGAAAACTGACAGAGGTTAGAAAATTTGCCTGAAGGATTTTATCTGAAGTCTGTCTTTTTACTTTCCTTGATATTTTTCTCAATCTGTGGAAGATACCTATATTACATTTTTTTTTTAATTCCTTATCAAATAGTTCTGGTACCATTTTTGGTATTACATTTTCTGACACTATTTTGTGGACTTATTTGAAGCACTGTCTGATGTCTCTGTGCAAACTGAAATTATTTTCTGAGACATTGTGGTGTCCTTGTGTTTATATTAATTAATATTTGCATGTTGGTGTGTTCTCAGGCACTCACCACCTATTTCCTGATGAATGTGGTAGTGTGAAAGAGTCTACTGTTGTTTGTATAGTGGAGTTCAGGGCAGGTTCACATACCTCCAGAAGCAGGGGTGGCACTCCCGGCACCCAACCACATGCAGTGTTGAGACTACACAGGAGTGGGTGTCACTGGCTACTCGGTTGTCAAGGGCAGGGACTGAGTGGACATGCACCTGGCTTCCAGAGGGTACAGAACAAGGGAGAACCACATCCCCCCTTGCACCAACCTCTAGCCTCATCCTTTGCCTGTAGGTCACTATATGGACAGCTATTTGCAAAAGCTCATGCTGGCCACACCACTCTACATCAGCTGAGATTATACTTGTTTATCTTCCTCTCGCTTCTGTTCACAGCTTCCTCTTCCAGGAGGTACTCAATCCACTTCTTTGTCCTAGCCTTTGAAGCTCATGTTTTCAGGTTCACTATCTGCATTTGTTTCAGTTGGTCTCTTTTGTTGCGGAGGGTCTGTTCAGTGCCTCTTCTTTCTCTGCCACCTTGCCTTGAAATTGGCAATATACCTTTAAAGTTTTGCTTCTGACACCAAATACTTCAAAGAACAAAATCTCATACTCTAGCCAAGGCTCTCTGAGCTCCCTTGCTTTTCCATTGAGACACGGAAATATTATTTAGTATACTAGGTGAGGTAGAGTTTTGGTAATATGTGAGTATTAGAAAGCTGCTAATTTATACAGAAACTTAGCTTTCATCTGGCATTTCATTCACAGAAGATACAGATAGCTGAGGTAGAGTTTTGATAATAGCTCAGTATTGTTGTTGTTGTTAAGTGCCATTGAGTTGGTTCCGACATATAGCAACCCTGTATAGGGGTTTCCGGGGAGCAGCTGGTGAGCTTGAACCACCGACCTTGCAGTTCAAACAGCTTTGCAGTCTGACATATTAACCCACAGCGCCACACCAGGACTCCAATATCTGAGTATTAGAAAGCTTCTAATTTATACAGAAACTTAGCTTTCATCTGGCATTTCATTCACAGAAGATAAAGATAGCTACTATGAATAAAACATTTTAAAATTGCTGTTTATGACTAGTGAAGTTTATTTGCTTATTTTTTACATTTATAATATAATGTAAAGTACAAAACTCTATAAAGAATACAGTCATGCTTTTGAGCATGCAGTTTTTTTTACATGCTTTGGACAGACAAGAAAAAAAGATCTCCTTTTTAAAAAAGTCATAAC